ATACAGTTGTCCCTTGATAATCCGACAGGTATGGAACCAAAGGTGTGTCAGATTACCAAAAGTGTCCGGATTACCGAAAATAATTACATATTTCGCATTGTTTTGCTAGCAGTAACTTACAATATTCTCTACTCCAATTGTTCGAACAGAACTGCTCACATAAAACACACGAAATGTGTGTCATCGGGTAAGAATTGGATGGGGAGATTCACATCGCGACATGCTTCTGTGCAAGCAGATACGTAACGGGGATGGGTACCTTGACGGGAGGTGCGTCGGACTACTAAGCATGTCGGATTAAAAAACGTCGGACTATAGAGGGACAACTGTATTTTAAAAAGTTTACATTAGGCTTAACATCAACGAAAATTCAATGCGAAGCGACACGCAACGGAGAAAAATTTCAACATCAGATACATTAAACTATTTTTTCGTTCATAATCGGTTATCTGAAAAATAAGTTATCCAAACAACCCCATTCCCCAATTGATTCAGATAAACAATGCTCTACTGTATAATGTTTTCATATTTTTAATCATAAATATATTAAAGTTTTATGTATCAGCTTTTGTTCATATATGTAACAATGTTAAAAATTTTATCATCATCATTTTTAAGTTAAAACTTTTTTAATAGAAGAGCTTTCAGATCAATTAGTAAGTTCATACAATGATGGATCTAATAAAAACTTTTTAAAGTGTTGTGGAGATGGTTCAAAAATATTTAAGATATTATCGGTATATATTGATTTCTAACTCCAATAATTTAGTTTCTTTTTATGGATTTGGAAAAAGTGGGAATGTTTTCTTGACTTTTAAAAAAACTTCTATAACTATCAAATAGAAAACTATAGTTTGTTAATATAAAATTTTAGTAGAATTTAAAAATTATTTTTGCATGAATTGTGAAAGGTGAAAGAAACAATTAAAAAATATATATTAATGTTTTTTCTTATTAAAACTAAATTATTTTTTGACTGATTCATTATATATTATTCTATGCATAAATTAAAATTTATAATTAATAGAAAATCAAGAAAGTTTTAAATAATAAATATAAAATTTAATGCGTCATACATCAGTGATCTGTTAAACGATTCAATTAACAATAATACTTACTTGAGCATTGATATCAATATTATTCTGAAGCAAAACTTCAGCAATAGAAGCAAATCCTAAATCACATGCCCAATGCAATAATGTCATTTTCTATAATAAATTTTAATTAGATTAAATTTATGCATTATACTTCACAATTCATAAATTATTGACTACTAACCAATTCATCTCGTTGATTTATTGGGAAATCTTTGGTCCGAATGATCTGTTCTAAGCTGTCTAAGTTATTTGTCCTCACCCAGTCAAAAACATCTTTTGATCTAATAGTGATGTTTTTATCCTGTAAAATTTCATTAAATAGTCAAATAAATTAAATTGAATTTATTTAATATTTGTTTTATAATTGTAAATATTTTTAATAATATATAATTTCTAAATTTACAATATTGTAAAATAATTCAATAGCACTCTAATTTTTTCAGAAATTTAAATTAGTCACTTCTATGGATGCCTTAGTTATTTTTGAACCTATTTGGATTATTGATTGTATTATTTAAAATGCTCTATTTATTATATGAGTAAACTTTGAATAAAATTAATATTCAAATGATGATTTCTATGATGATTCCATCCTGAAGATTTTACCTACCAAAGATAATACTTCAGGAAGATCAAAAAGTCAGTCAACCAAGATGTATTTTAAGAATTACCATGTAACTGTTCTAAATTGGTTTAATATACTAAAAATCTAACAAAAGAAATTATTTGCTTCAGTTTTTGTGTTCATAATTCTTTTATCATCCATATCCAAAACTCTACGAACAAATTGTTCTAAATGCTACATCGTCAATGGCCAGCTGGTCAAGGCAACAAAGGTATCTATCTGCCTGCTGCACTTAACACTCAGATTCAAGTCCAGGTTAGAGATTTCAGGAATTTTTCAGGAGGAGAGAGGTTCCTATTCCTCACCACCAGGCTGCTTTCAATGGGAAGACTAACCAAATTCATAATGAGCCTGCAAAAAAGACTTTTAGCTGCCACAGGGTAGAAGAGTTAACAAGAAAAGCCACATTTCTTTCTTTTTTTCTCTTTTTAAAAATTATCATCTTAATAATACCTTTTAAACAAGGTCAAATAAAATTTTAATCTGTAACTTCTATGTTTTTGTATATTACTGTTAAGTGTAAGTTGCTTTCTATAATTGTAAGACAGGTATGCAAATTGATAATTCTTGGTATGACATCATTATTCTTGAACCTGTAAAGAGTCACACACAAACACTGTAGTGAGTAATTACAAATTGAAAGATTATTAATTTGTTGTGCTTGAAAACTAAAAATTTCACTTGGAGCTGTGTATTAATTTATTTGGCAAATGCAGTTTGTATAATATGCCTCTTCAATGCTAAAAACCAGTTAAAAATAACAAAACAAAACTAGAAATTAAAGTATTTATTTTAATGTTTAAAACAGTACATATTCACAATATTCATAAAATTCTGCACAAAATTTGACCACCAATTAATAAAAAATCTTAATAAAGAGATTTGGCACATTTTTCATTGTCTAAAAACTTGAACACCAGGAAAAGATAGAAGAAAGATTACTGCTATAAAAAAAAATAAATGTTTATTTTATAAAAAGCAGCTTACACTTATAGCAAAATACAATAACTTCAAACTTGTTCCTCTATAAAATTAATTCTATATTTTATTTAACCAAAATTTTATATGAAACACTAAATAAATACTTTGGTAACTTTTTCATGTAATATAAGAACAGGTTTGTTCTATTAATAGCTGCACCAATTTCCAAAAAATAGAAATAATAATCACCCTCTAATAATCAGTGCAGTTACAAGTTAAAAAAAGTTATAGGCAGAGTTAAAAATGTTCACTGTTTAGTAGAATATGATATACAGTAGAGTGTCGTTTATCCGAATCAATTGGGGACTGGGGTTGTTCGGATAACTTATTTTTCGGATAACCGATTATGTACGAAAAAATATATTAACCTATCCCATGTTGAAATTTTTTTCCGTTGCGTGTCGCTTCGCGTTGAATTTTCGTCGATATTAAGCCTAACGAAAACTTTTTAAAATAATAATCGTGGCTATTGTATCATTAAAAATAATTTTTTTATTTTGTACAAACAAAATAAATATATTGAAAAATATAAAAACAATAAAAAATTATACTTCAGANATCTACCCCGAGGGGTCGATGCAACATCATTGGGGGTCAATGCGGCTAGGGGGTCGATCAGGCTAAGGGGTCACAACTTTTTTTTTTTTTGCTTATACAGAGACACAACGTTTTTTTTTTGGCTCATACACATACACTTGTAATAAAACTTTACAGTGGGGTCAATGTGAGGCTTTGGAAAGTGGTTGGGGGTTGACGGTTAAAAAAGTTTGGCAACCTCTGCTTTAGAAGTTGATCTAGTATCAAAAATGTTTGATTCAGCACGACACAGTCCTCAGAAAAATATCACACAAAAGTGCCAGTGCTGCCAGCTAAAACACACACACCAACAAAAAAAAATATTGGAGTAGCCAGAGATGTAGCCAAAGATTGCAGTGCCACAGCACTAGCCAAAATTTAAATTTGCCAACTGAAATGCTTTCGGATAACCGACTTTCGGATAAATGACGCTCTACTGTATCAAAATATCTTAAGAAATTATATCAATATTCTCTATTTAACTATTATTAACTATTAGAATCAAACAATTACTTTAGTAGTTCACAAACACCGAAGAATGACAGTACAGTAATACCGAGTTACATAACACGTGACTTACATTTTACATAACTGTGAATTTACGTAAATCTCAAAAATTAGAAAAAATCTGAGTAAAGTAACATGTAATTTTACAAAGAATTATTCTAATTCAAACATTCATTCATTCTCTCTCTCTCTCCCTTTCATACTGTACCGATTTATTACTTTATTGCTCTGCTAATCGTTTACTTTCCGGTCTAGTTGTAAGCACGTACACAAGTGTTCTGGGCACTCTTCTCACAAACAATTCTTTTATACAAAAAAATAATAAATAATATATGTATAGTACACATATAACAATTAATAACTCAATACTGTATTTATTATGTAGTTATACTTAAGCAATTTACAAATTCGACTCATATAAATGTCTATGGCCCGCATTACTTACATAACTCGAGGTATTGTCAGTATAATCTCTGTAATCCATCATATATGGGACTAGAACAGGTTAAGGAGATTGTCTGATTATTGGAAGTAATGTGAATAGTTTAATTATTCAGAAAGACGACTTTGATTATTTGCATGATATTAATGCTGAGGCCACACAGACAGAGCACTACGTAAACTGCATATGCTATGTGAGCTATGCTGCAAAAGATTTTGTTGTCAATATTTATCCAGTTTGTCACTGAGTATGGGCATGCACAGTAGACATCAAACTGCCAACTGTTTATTTTGGCATGTGCAATGATGTGAAGTTCACCACGTGTAATAAAAAATAATTGCCATTGGAAATTCTAATTGAAAAAATTAGAAAATATCTATGTCTATGGAAGAAATCACTAGAATAACACAGAAATCAAAACATTAGGATCAATGCTTGCATCCACTTATTATTAATAATAATAATAATTTATTTTCCTGTTTATTATTATTATTACTACACAATGATAATCAGATAATCATCATTAGAATCATCCTTACTCTTTCAGGGCACACTATTTGGCAACAATATCTCAGACCAAACTAACAATTTTTGTCAAAAAAACAGGTTTTATAACTTTCGGTTTGGTCAGCTGTCATAGCAAACAGTGTCCATAACATAGCATTCTGTCTAGTTTCAGCATAATACATTATATTGGCTTACTGAGATTGAAATGTCCGAGTACATGGTCATAACCAGTAATCAGTGTTGAAAAGTTGGAGGTCTAGTAGAAAAATTGAAAATTAAGTGAGAGGTATAGTATTTTTTGGTGAAATATTTCAGAGAACTGATTTTTATATTTTTACATATTCATAAGATACTGTTGCCATTGGAATGGTACTCACCAAGATAATGAAAGATAAAGACATTTCCATTCATACTAAGAAAAGAATTGTAGAAGCAATGGTTTTCCCTGTAACATTATATGGCTGTGAAAGCTGGACTCTAAGGAAAAAGGAAAGAAAAATGATAGATGCATTCGAATTATGGGTATGGAGAAGATTACTTAGAGTTCAATAGACAGAAAAAAAAACAAATACAGTCGACCCCCCTATAAGATATAGATACGTTCCAATTTATTAGGAATCTGATTTCTTACAAGTCGTTCCAATCACAGCCCGACACGTGTCAAGTTTATGGACTATGGCTGATTGAAAGGTTTTCTTCCATAAAATTAATCGATTATACACTAATCCGACTCAACATTTCCAAAATACGTATATTTTTTCGTAGTTTTATAGGAATCGTAATTATAGGGACCATAATTATAGGGGGGGGTCGACTGTATCTCAATTTTAGAAAAAATTAAGCCAAGCTTCTCCTTAGAGTCAAGAATCTTAAAACAAAAATTGACCTACTTTGGACATGTGAGAAGTTTCCCTAGAGAAGACTATTATGCTGGGAAAAGTGGAAGGTAGAAGGAAGAGGGGAAGGCAACGGATAAGATGGATGGAAGAAATCGAGAAAGTCACAGAAATGAAGCTGGAGGAGCTACGAGAGACAACAAGGGAAAGATCAAGATGGAGAAGACTTGTCCATGAAGTCACCAGGAGTCGACGATGACTTGATGGAACTTAACAACAACAAAGATACTGTACCTTTTTCAGCAGTCTAAAATGACAAGCCTAACAATCTTTAATATCATGACTAAGCTTTGGCTCAATATTGCAACATGTTTAGTGGGTAAATGTTCAAATTTACTGTAAACTGGAATTTGAACTAGTGGAAAGCTTGTCTATGGCTAGATAACAGTAGTGGTAATTAGTTATGTGCTGAATCGTTAAAAATGTATATCCGCAGATACAGATACAGTTACGGATCATTAATGTCTAGATCCGCAGGTACGGATACGGATCTCAACTTTCGCACTCATGCGTGTGACCTTGGACCGATAGCTGATGCTTTGCATTAGCAACGTAATATGTTTTGACTTGCACTGTGCGTGTTTTTGTTTATAATTTAGTGTGACAGGGGATAGCGTAGATTAAGTTTGTATTTTTGGAGAATGTTGAGTTAAATTAAAATAAAAACAATAGCAACAAAAAAGTTTAGTAGTGTAATATGGAAATATTTTACGATAGTAAATGAATTTTGCATGATAAAATTTTTGCAATATGAATGTGCCCAATATGTGATTTTAAGAAATAAAAAGTGATTTGAATTGAAGTTATTAGTATTTTATTGCTACCTATCTTTAAAATTTCTATAAGTAATGAAATTCATTAAAATAAAAGATCTGTTAAAAAGTAACTGATACGGATATGAATACGGATCTTTTTTCCCTCGGATATCCGCGGATACAGATACAGATATCCTGCACATCACTAGTGGTAATATACAAGAGTGACTGGTGTCAGATTCCTGGATATGTTGAACTAGCAAACAACCATATTACCAAGACTGCAATGTATTTGGCTAATGCAACACAAAAAGTGATATGCATTTTGTTTTGTATGGCTTTATGAAATAACTTATTTGTAAAAAAATTCTATATTTTAAAAAATAATCATTTAGAGAGCGTCTTGCAAGTATTTAATAAAGAAGACTTTGCAATAAAATAACAGTTTGTTATTCAAATCTAATAGCCTACTTTAATGTACAAGAGGATTCTTTCAGTTTTGAAATACAAACACCTAATCCTAATTGATTTGATTGTTGAATTAATCAGATCAATAATCAAATGAAAATCTTTTTGTTTTTTAGAATGTAATCATCAGAAACACATTCTCCAATTTGCAGAATAATGTCTCTATTAGCTTTCATTTAGCAACTTATTCTCTTGGTTTGTAAATGATATGAAAAGTAGAAAACAAGTAAAAATTTTATACAGCACGTAATGTAATGTTTCATTTTATCTACCAAATCAGAAATACTACTTTGATTTTAAAAGTAAATAAATATCAATTAAAACAGAGCTAGTTAAGATTTAAATCTAGAATCTTCTAATGTAAAGTCTGACAGATTTTACTCTAAACAAGTAATTTATACTGGATTTAACTAATAATTATATGTTGAATATTACAACTTGGAATTAAATCATTGAGCACACTATTAAAAAACACAGCTAAGTCAAATCTCTATGAAATATATTGTACAAGAATAAATTATAATCTTTTCAAAAATGTCCATCTTATTCTAACATGCCTAATTCAAATATTAACATAAAAATAAATGACTTTATAAATCTGAGCCATAAGAAAAGTAATGATGTACCACAAGAAATTTATTAAATTTTTCACTATATGTAAATACAATAATTGACCTTAGAATAATATTTAATAAATTTGTTTTCAGATTAACAAGATAGATAATGAACTTGCAAGACTGAAAATGTAAACAACACATTAATTTGATATTACAACAACAATAATGAAGTAACAAGTGTAGCAATTTACTGATAAAAGTGTTCGGTCTTTTTTTTTAAAAAAAAGCAGTATTAAATTAATATCCAATACAATATTACTAAATTTGTTTTTTGGAAAAATATAAGGAATTCAAGGATGAAGAGTTTTAACAATAAAATTTAAAACGAGACAAAAAAATGTCTTCTATCCTTTCACACACAATACAAGGTCACCATCATTTTGCTGTTCATATAAGAACATAATTAAATCAAAATCATAAACATTTCTGCTTTCTTTTTTTTCTTATATTGGCTTCACTTTTATATTTTAGCAATAAAATATTTATTTTAATAACAAAATAATTTATCATATTTCTGATAGATTCATAATAACCTATTGAAGATTGATTTCTGTTGGAGAATACCAAGAGATCTTGATAAGTGTTTAAAACAACAGTAATTCAAATTAGACTGCTTGACACATGTAAAGAAATCTCTCTCTAAACCAAGTAGTAAGTTTTTATAAGAGATTTTAACTTTTATTTCAAATATTTTTATTCACAGTGCAGTAATATACAGGAAGAGGATCAATCAACAATTTACTCTTAGCATTTCAGTGATAAATCATGAAACTAATGTTCAAGAAAGTAGTTAAATTTGCTGGCTCAAACATTACTAGTTTTTAGTTAAAATATTAAACTTTTTAATAAAAAAATTTACAGTTTTATTTACATTTCATTAGTAGTAATTCATTAAATTATGAAAATTATTAATTTTTCTAAAATTCTAAATATTCATTTTAAATTGATAAAGACTATACACTTTCAACCAATTCAATTATTCCAATAGTTATTAAGTTAATAAAAAATTAGCACGTGTACACACGTGTACACACGTGTTATAATTGCCAAAATTATCCAATTAGGAAAAACAATATTAATACACAAATGTGATAAAATTATGTTTTCCCATTCTGTTAATAGCTTAATTTTCTTAAAATTCTTATCAATTAAACCAACAGTTTAAGAATTTCTTCAATCTTTGTAATATTTTAAAATCTTTTCCACCACTCATCTGCATAGCAATATCAAATTCAATTTTTGTATTCGTAACAATGAGAACAAACAAACGTTTCCTCTCACTTTTAGAAAAGGTTCTATAAAATTCTTTAAACATTAAGACTAAATATCTATTTTACTGACGCACAATTTTTTTACATTTCATGCTGCATAAATTAAAAATTATTTATTTACTCAAATAAAAAATATGCTAAAAATACAATATGAATTAAATATATTTACTTTTGTAAGATGAAAAATATACATATATAAAAGTAGAACACTAACATAGATTAACTTCATTTTTCCCAAAATCAAGAAATATTAAAGAAGTTGTTGCAATAATTTTATTATTAGTCCAAACCAATTTCATCACATTCCTTATGCAACAGATGGAATTTTACTAAATACAGAAATTATTATTAATCATCATCTTTAAACATAAACAAATCATAATCATAAATTTTATACAAAAATTATTATTATTAATCATCATAATATTCTATTGTTAAGAAAATCAAAATTACTTCCAGCACTATATACATATAAAGTGTGTGCAAAATCAATTTTCATGAAGCAAACAACCACTATATTTACCATATAAAATCATTCGATCAGTTTGAAATTATTGTGACATTTGGCCCAATAAATATAACTGAAAAATTATATTTAAATGGCTAGAAGTAAACTTTATATTAAAAAAAAAACAAATGCTTTACCAAATAATTTTTAAAATACCAAAAATTTAAACAAACAATTGCAAGACATTACAACATATTTCTTAAGCCGTCTCATATTTTTTATAATCATTAAAAATTAATTAACATACCTCATTCCAATTTGGATCATTTGATTTTACTGCATCAATGTATTCTTTCATTGCTGTTTCTTGTGACATGTCACCTAAACCTTTCCAAGCAGCCCTTAAAAAAATCATAATGAAGTCAGAATTAATAGAGTAGGTGCAGAAAAATCTGCATGGATAATGCTAATGATTTACCATTTCTGTGTCTCTTCGAAAGTATCTGGTTTAGGAATGTTACACGCACCTTGTGTTGCCTGTAAAGTAGTGTTTTCCAACAATATAAATGACACGCTCCTTCACAACACATTATTTTAAGAACACACACAAAAAAAAAAAAAAAAGTCGGTCATCAAAACGTCAAAGTAGTTATGTGTACGCTTACTTGTTTATATCTGGCATAGCAAAACAGCAATTGATTAGAATCGAGTTTAGAGACGATGTTCGGTAAACGCTCAGCTGCTTTCTCGAAATTTTTTTCTAATTCCGTAAGCGGGCGTTCTTCCACATTAGTTTCTGACGTTGTGGTTACGGGTTCCGAATTGGACGATCCTTTCTCGGCCATCTTGACAATGCCAGCTTAATACTTCTGAGCGTGCGTTTGCTACTTTTTCCCTCGAGATAAATGGTGATGGGAAGTCACGTGATGGATATCGGTATGGTGACAGATATCGTGCTAAAATAAACAATCGCTTCTGTAAGTTAACAAACGCGAATAATTTCTATAAATATTTATTAATACGTTTATCTGGTTAGGAGGAAAAAATAAAATTTTTCCGAATTTCCAGCACGTAAAAACAACCGACTCATTAAATGTACGGAAATTCTTTTATATATTTAACACGTAATCTCGGTCCCTAAGATTTATATTGAAAATAATATTTAGAGTTTAAAATTATAACACATTTTTTTTATGACAAAATCGAATAAAATTTATTTTTATAAAAATTTTTTTGAGTGTTTCGTCCTTTAAACGCCATGTTTTCTGCTCTACGTAACCACTTTTTTGACTTGACGTCAACACTAACAGATGTTCCACTATCGTCTGATTGGTTAATTTCTCTATCACGTGTCATATACCGGCGTGTATACCGTATGAATAAACAGATTAAAGAAAGATTGCGACGACACCGATACATAACTAATTATATGAGAAATTCACGTTTGGAAAACAAAGTTGAGATAAAATAGCGTGTGGCTAATTATTATTTTAAAAATTAAAAGATTTAAGTAAGAAATTGGGTCATTAGCTGTTTCCAGACTGCCATGATGTCTTTCAAAGCGATTATCTCTTGTTTACTTTTGTTTTTCTATACTTTTTGAGTCGAAAGTTTCTCAAACGTTCACTCGGTTGCCATAAAATGCTGTGAAAATAATTTTTAAATTTAAAATTTAGAAGAGAAATGTCTTTTAAAGATAATTGGATAAAGTTTTAATGTAATGTCTAGAAAATATTTAACTCAATTTATAAAAAAATAAACAAGATAATATTTGTAGTTTTCAACTTTTAATCGTGTAAATCCTCATGATTCTGTTTGTTGAAGTTTAACAGAAAGTAGCACAGTTTATTTTAATTTTTTGTTTTTCCTCCAATGATAAATGAAAAAACTTTGTCTTATCTAATCAAAATTTTAATGATGTATATCATATACAGTAAGACCCCACTTAATGCGATCTGCTCAAAGCCTAAAAAAAAGCTCAAAATTTACGCTAATTTAAATTATCACGGCATTTCATTGATTCATATGTAATACGATTATTTGCAAACACAAACCAATCAGAAAAAGGTGTACTTTCTTTAAATCTATGTTTGTTTGGTGCAATTTTGGAAAAAATAACATCATGGATGCCATAGGAAATATCGACTTCGCTTGGCAAGAATTAACTGATAAATGCACGAATGAAATATGGAAGAAGTTATGGCTGAAGGTATCCAAAAGTTCTCAATGAGAAGAACCTATTGCTGTATTGTTAGGTTGACCAAACTCAATCAATATAGCAGGACTAGGAGATATAGATGAGCAGGATATTGAGGTGTTATATTTCTGGTGAGAGCCTTACCAACGACGACCTTCAAGAACTAGCAGAAACATGAAATTCATGTGGAACTGGAAAATAGATTCTGAAAACGAAGAATCCAAAAAATTTCTCTACAGATTTCTTTAGTAAAAGTTTGGTAAGTAACTGAAATCGTTGATCAAATTGTAGCGAATGATCCAGATTTTGAAAGGAGTGCTAAAGCAAGATGAGGTGTTTTGGATGCGATCTTCTGCTATCGACATTTTCGTAAGGAAAGAAAAAAGCAACAAATGAAACTTCATGACTTTATTGCAAAAAGAACAAGAATTTCAGAAGTCAGGACCTTCATCACAAAAATGAACTTTACATTTCTGTGTGTGTGTGTGTGTGTGTTATTTAACATGTATTATTATACAAATTAATATAAAAATAACTTAAAATTAAAGTAAAATTTGTTTATTTTTGGTCGCATGTTTCCCTATCCCTATTTACTGTGTTAAAATGACCTCGTTTAACGCTGTTTCGCTTAATGCTTTGTTGTCTAGGAACGCATCCTTCGTGTTAAGTGGGGTCTTACTGTACTAAATGATTCAAATTAATCAATAAAAATTATACCTCAGTTTGTAGAAGACAACATAATACAAAATGATCTTCCTTGTAACTAAAGTTGGACATACTTTAAAAATTTTCTTGATTTAAAGCAACAATAAGTAATTTTAAACATAATCTTTAGAATTATATACAGATATTTGAAACATTTTTGGTTAAAAAGTTGATAATCAGTTTAGAATAACTCATAGATGTAAAAAATGTTGAATGCATGCAATTGGAATGCTTATGTTTAGAATTTCAAAATTTAAATATTTAAGACTTGACTGAAAGTGCTTCCTTTTGTTAAAAGTATTGGCCACCTTAACTAAGAAATTTTATAAGAAGGAAATCGGAAATTTTAGAAGCTTGGAATTCAATGTACCAGATTTAAAAACATCATGTTTAGCTTTTGTACCAGTGAGCTAGGCTCATGCTCAATGCATGAAGTCATTGCTTCAAAAATTTTTTTTAAAAAAAGTCATTTTTAAAAATCCAAAATAGCCTGCTTAATAATCTTACAATTTTTGTAAAATCAGGAATATTTATATCAATAATTTTATATCTTCTTGCTGCAATCATTTCAATTTTTAATTATTTTATTATTAATATGAGAAGTTCAACTTGAAGGAATAGAAGCTTTGCTAATTAGTCAGAACTATTGTCTGCTTCATTGTTCATCACAATCATCTGACAACATTTAAACTGATATTGTCAGATTGAGTGTGTAAACAATAATTTTACATGGCAGTTTATGTGATAACTACTTGCTTCATGGGAGGCAATATTAATTAATTATATAAATTTAATTCCCACAGCAAAAGCAAGTAGAAAATCAGTTAACTAGTCATAACCAATACAATTACAATTACTTACAATTGTTGCTTCATAACAATAGTATCGGAAAGCAACATTTAAACCAAAATATATATCCTATTGTATATGTACCTATATATTGACTATTTTATAACTGAATACTCTTATTTTTCCGAGAAGCAGAATTCACATTTCTAAATATTGACTCGGGAAATCAATATCTGACTATTAAAGTTGTTCAGAGATAATATGTGGCTTTCTATTTTTAAAATATGATGTAGGACCTGTAGGATATATTAATCAACTTTGGTTGATTATAGTAATTTAAAATGATTCGAAGAAAAATAAATTAATAAACATTGGACAAAGATTAAATATTGCAATAAATGTATGACAATTATATATTATAAGCAAGACTTGCATTTTTGAATTTATCATCTTGGTATATCATGATAGTAAATACTTTTTATGTAAGTTGTTAATAGTTTGCTTCTAAGAACAGGATTGAAACTAACCTACAGTAAATTTATATATGAAAATTTAATCTATATGAGTTATTCATTTATAACAAAACTTAAACCAAGTTGTTTGTTCCTGTTTCATTTTTATATATAAACTGAGTTTCCTCAAGTCTATTCCTTCATTACAAACTAAATTTAAACAATCTTTCTGCTGTCTTCTATACCTTATCTAGATCTTAGTTGGATAATTTATTCCATAAATTTGGCTTTGTTCTGCCCAATAAAACTCAGCAATTTAAGAATTTTAGTTACTCATAGGACTTTATTTACCATTTAGAAAAATCTCAAGCATAGTCTCTTGTCCAGCTAAGTTTAGATGCTATAATTTTCATTTTATTAATACATAAATAAGTTTGAATAAAATAAGTTATTTAATTTTGTGCATATAATTTTAGAAATGATCTATTGCTTATCTAGTTATAACATTTAGAAATTATTCAGAGATTTATTTATAAAAAATTATCCTTTATAAGTTTTAATAGCAGATTTTGGAAAGCCANCTTCGTGTTAAGTGGGGTCTTACTGTACTAAATGATTCAAATTAATCAATAAAAATTATACCTCAGTTTGTAGAAGACAACATAATACAAAATGATCTTCCTTGTAACTAAAGTTGGACATACTTTAAAAATTTTCTTGATTTAAAGCAACAATAAGTAATTTTAAACATAATCTTTAGAATTATATACAGATATTTGAAACATTTTTGGTTAAAAAGTTGATAATCAGTTTAGAATAACTCATAGATGTAAAAAATGTTGAATGCATGCAATTGGAATGCTTATGTTTAGAATTTCAAAATTTAAATATTTAAGACTTGACTGAAAGTGCTTCCTTTTGTTAAAAGTATTGGCCACCTTAACTAAGAAATTTTATAAGAAGGAAATCGGAAATTTTAGAAGCTTGGAATTCAATGTACCAGATTTAAAAACATCGTGTTTAGCTTTTGTACCAGTGAGCTAGGCTCATGCTCAATGCATGAAGTCATTGCTTCAAAAATTTTTTTTAAAAAAAGTCATTTTTAAAAATCCAAAATAGCCTGCTTAATAATCTTACAATTTTTGTAAAATCAGGAATATTTATATCAATAATTTTATATCTTCTTGCTGCAATCATTTCAATTTTTAATTATTTTATTATTAATATGAGAAGTTCAACTTGAAGGAATAGAAGCTTTGCTAATTAGTCAGAACTATTGTCTGCTTCATTGTTCATCACAATCATCTGACAACATTTAAACTGATATTGTCAGATTGAGTGTGTAAACAATAATTTTACATGGCAGTTTATGTGATAACTACTTGCTTCATGGGAGGCAATATTAATTAATTATATAAATTTAATTCCCACAGCAAAAGCAAGTAGAAAATCAGTTAACTAGTCATAACCAATACAATTACAATTACTTACAATTGTTGCTTCATAACAATAGTATCGGAAAGCAACATTTAAACCAAAATATATATCCTATTGTATATGTACCTATATATTGACTATTTTATAACTGAATACTCTTATTTTTCCGAGAAGCAGAATTCACATTTCTAAATATTGACTCGGGAAATCAATATCTGACTATTAAAGTTGTTCAGAGATAATATGTGGCTTTCTATTTTTAAAATATGATGTAGGACCTGTAGGATATATTAATCAACTTTGGTTGATTATAGTAATTTAAAATGATTCGAAGAAAAATAAATTAATAAACATTGGACAAAGATTAAATATTGCAATAAATGTATGACAATTATATATTATAAGCAAGACTTGCATTTTTTGAATTTATCATCTTGGTATATCATGATAGTAAATACTTTTTATGTAAGTTGTTAATAGTTTGCTTCTAAGAACAGGATTGAAACTAACCTATAGTAAATTTATATATGAAAATTTAATCTATATGAGTTATTCATTTATAACAAAACTTAAACCAAGTTGTTTGTTCCTGTTTCATTTTTATATATAAACTGAGTTTCCTCAAGTCTATTCCTTCATTACAAACTAAATTTAAACAATCTTTCTGCTGTCTTCTATACCTTATCTAGATCTTAGTTGGATAATTTATTCCATAAATTTGGCTTTGTTCTGCCCAATAAATCTCAGCAATTTAAGAATTTTAGTTACTCATAGGACTTTATTTACCATTTAGAAAAATCTCAAGTATAGTCTCTTGTCCAGCTAAGTTTAGATGCTATAATTTTCATTTTATTAATACATAAATAAGTTTGAATAAAATAAGTTATTTAATTTTGTGCATATAATTTTAGAAATGATCTATTGCTTATCTAGTTATAACATTTAGAAATTATTCAGCGATTTATTTATAAAAAATTATCCTTTATAAGTTTTAATAGCAGATTTTTGAAAGCCACCAATAAGTTAAAATTCAACTGTAGAATATCAAAATACCACCAATAAGTGTTAGTAGTGATGGCTCATAGATCCAGATTAGAAAACGTTATTTGGGTTAATGAGCAATTATTTATTGTGACATTGTCACAATGTATGGCTGCAATTTTTAATTTATTTCATTTAAAATATATGCTCTCCATCTCAAATTAGTATTGGCTTGGCCCTGTACATCATACTTTTTCTTTAATAGAGTCGTGCCATCATTTATTAACTGCTTTCAGAGGAAAGTTTTAAATCAAAATAGTTTGCATCAGAAAGTTTTGAATCAACTTCCAGTTTGCATCGGAAATTCATATATAGTTAATCGGGGCTCCTGCCCCTAAGGTTTCCCTATCTGGTCTCGTCTTTTATATATCTAATTCTGTTCTTGAGATTAAGGAAAGACAGAGGAATGGATGGACAGACTGATGACAATGGAAATTTATAGGTATTCTGTTATAGGCTGCAATTTTTTCAAATTGCAGCCCAATAACAGAAAAATAAAAATTTTAACATACTAATAAGCAACAAACATGCCTATTTTTGCATGACTTATTTGTTTGTACAGGTTTAGTCACATGTGCAGTCCCATACATAGTTAAGAGTATGCTGGAAATGCCCAACAGAGCTGCTCCATAACTCAAGCATATTCTACCAGCATGGTATTTAATGGCAACAGCATGCATTCCACATCTAATATTTCCTTGTGCTATTTACCTGAGGCTAGTCCCAAGTATGAGAACATGCAATAAAAATGCTTTTTATCAGTGAGTAATTTGTTTGATAAAATTATTGGTGTGACCCACTGCCTCTGGAAATCAGTAAATTAATTACTAATGTAACAATATTCTCACACAGATAATGCTGCTAGATAATGAGGATTACATTCAAAAATGTTTTTTAATTGCATATTATAAAATTGATATATATATCAAACTTTAAAATTGCCATAGGCTATTTTACTTTTATAGTAATGTCATCTTCATGCTTTTCAGTTTAGCTAGAGGAAGATTTGAAGGTCTGTACATTAAACCATTAAATAATAGTGAAAGAATTGTTCTTTTGATGGAATCTACCTTATTAGCAAAAAAGCACTTTAAGCATCAAATAATTGAGAAAGCAATGTTTAATGGCCCGATTTTGTAAGGTTTAATTGAAAATGAAAAAATGATCATCAGTCTATGCTGATTTTATTAAAGCATATTATTTTACAAGGTATGATGGGAATATAGTTCATTCATTAACTGAAGAATTAAAGGAGTTGAATGAGATAGAAGGAGAAGGCTGAATGGATAATCATCCATTCAGCCCTCTATTTCTTGTGGCATTGTAGTGAATTAAATTTTCCAAATCCAAATTTTTATCTTAATAAGGTCATGAAATATATTTTTCTTCACAGTTCACTATTTTATGAGAAAAATAATTAAATTCTGATATTCAATTTTTATATTAAGTATTTACATACAAATATCATATAATTAAAATTTTATATTATCTGCCATTATGATGATGATACTGTTAAGAATATTGCAAAAAATAAACTAAAAAAGTACAGTAGAATCTCGATTATCCAGACTAATTGGGGATGAAGGTAGTCTGGATAAGGAAAAATTCGGATAATCGAAACAAATACTTTGTCTTTTAATGATAATACAACACGTTTTCTTCTCGATGACATATCAGCAATATTAAAAGTAAATACTTTTATAAATATTTAAATCGAGATCAAATTTTCAAGAAACAAACATTCGTATTGAATTTGGACTACTACTGACCAATGCTAACAGACTACCTATTGTTTAAAAGGTCCTCTGGTGGTGCAAGAAGACGGATTTTATAAAATAAAAAGCAGTTGAAACTGCACTTTTATGAATAAAAATTTGACAAACTATTTATCGTTTTATGACGAGTAAAATTTTTTTGTTGCATTCGCGGCATTTAAGTAATGCATAAACCTTCGGACCGCGAGGCATAGGCGGTGGCCCACGTTGCCCATGCCTTACGCCACCTTTGGTCATAGAAATGATGTAATTTGAAAATAAAATTATAAATACGTATGTCAAGTTATATTTTTATTACGACGCAAAATATATTTAAGAGTTTACGGCCACTGTGCTGGGTGAGAGGTTGTTGAAACAAAAAAAGTTATGCATTCCATCACGTACATAAACAGTATCGTAATTCGCCAAGTGCAAATCAGAAATTCGTAAAATTTTTGTTTATTTTGAACAATCCGGATAATCGAAAATCCGGATAATAGAGGTTCTACTGTACTTAATAAAAAAAAGTTTGACATTTCTTAGAAAACAAGAATGAAGATTAATGTAGGTCTTCACATAAAAATATTTGAAATTGTTTTCTACATTTTTCCATTTCTAGAAGTAACAAATTTCTCACTTCTAGGTTGTGTTTATTTGTTTCCAAATTTATTTTGATTACTGACTATTGGTTTTTAAGGGCTCTTTGAGTCCTGTGGGCACTAAGGATTTTTTTCAGATCCATCATGGGTTTGGATAGATAGACTCATAATGGGGTGGCCAGGTAATGAAGGACAGGGCTGACATATGCAGGAAATATCACTCACCAAAAAATTCTTTGGGTTTTTTATTGCCACTGATTGTAGATCCTCAGAGTGATGATGGCTGATCCAATGATGAGCAATCTTTCTGGTTGCAGGATGCAAATGAACTGCTTAAGCTTCTGATGGGTTGCATGCATTTTTTCTTACAGAGTTGTAGGTATTAAGCCTAATGAGTACTGCTACTACACTAGATACTAAAATAGTGTATGCTAATGATATGTAAACAGGAATGTAGCAGAAAACAGGAAATAAGATTACATTCCCAATGCCCAGGAAGGCCATTTCAAGATCTCGCATGCCACAGGTTGCTCATGACTGAGTTAACCACCTCAGCCTATTGGTCAGTATTTATTGTAACAAATTGAGAATTTTAAGTAGGAGTAAACTTTGTATTAAGTTTCAGTAATAATGATGTTTGAGTAAAGGTAATATTTGGTAATATTAATTTTATTAATATTCAAATGACAATTCCTATTATTAATAAATTATTGATAATCATTGTCAACTATATCTTTTACATGATGTAGCATTTTTTCCAGAAAGAATCATCACAATGTTAATTTCAAAAGCAGACAAGGTGACAAAGAATTTGTAAACAGTAGATATAGAAAAGAGGTAAGTCAAAGAGAGAGAATAGTGGAAAAGGTAGGCGATGAAATTGATCTATATCAAGGCAAAAAAAGGGATGTTATTTGTTATTCAGATATTCATTGTTAAAGTTAGCACAAGCATTAATGTTTTTTGATTAGTTAATAAGTTACTTGTAAAGAATTGTATACAATTACAAAAACAAAGTAAATTTTATTATAAAAAGCAAAGAATGAAATGTATTTTTTAAAACTATGAACACAAAAAAACTTAGAAAACAGGGACATGAAACATCAAATGGCATTGGTTTGAAGAGAATTATCAAGAATTGAAAAGAGATGAAATTTCTTCATTGAAAGTTACATCTTTTGGTGATAAGCCATTGTCATCTTTTAGTATTTTAGCTCCTTTCTTTAAAAGAAGTTTTACAATTTCTGGATAGCCACATGAACTAGCTACAAGTAAAATTTTAAAATATTAAATAAATTGTTTAAATTAAAAATTTTTTAAAATAAATTTCTATGCATATTTAATTTTATATAAAAAAGTTAATTTTAAATGTAATTTTACTTTTAAATACTCGTCATCATAATATAAAAATTATCATCTTAATGGTTTCTGAGATAAAATTACTATTTACCATAATGTAGAGGTGTCTGGCCATCTTCATCCTATAAAAAGTACATAAAAAAATGTATAGGAATCATAATCTGATAAAATCTGAAGAAATTAAATGTCACATTACAATATTAATAATAAATTGTCAAATTAGTACTTTTTCAAATATTAAGTATGAATAAAATCAATAAGTTAATGTAAACACAATAGAATACATTTATTGTCATCACTTTGGAATTCACCTATACTGATAATAATACAGATCAATAACATTAAACAAGACTATAATTAATGGAAAAACTAGTTTTATTGACTGACTTGTTAAAACAACAAATGTGACAAAACTCAAGAAGTCCCATTGATTTCATGAGTAACATGATTTCATCTATTATGATTATAATGAAATAAATAGTAGCTTGTTCCTAGTTATAGCCAATATTAATACTTTAAGCTAGATTAATAATTGTGTTCTTGTTTTATCATAGTGTTTGTTCCCACGACATTATTATTATATCTGATTCATACTGATTTTAATAGTGACTGAATACACGATTCCCATATGTAATCATCATGCCACTACTTTATGTTGTCAAGGTCAGCAATATCTGTATGATGGCGGTTGCTCTTCATGACCATCTTGAAGACAGTTTTTCTTTTATTATGATTATTATTCATGAAAAGTGGATTTGAAGAAAAATGAATTATTTATTTAAATTTTACTTATATTTATAGTTTTCTTATCTATAAATGGAAGTAATTTAATAGATTGAGTATCTCTAATTTGATAACCTGTTTGATAATTTGATTCTCTAATGTAGATAACCATATAAGATCAGATATGCTATTTTATCTTAAGGAATGATAAGAATGATGGGAATGATGATTGAATTGTCATAGTACAACAATGATGCCACAGTGTTAGCTGTCACAAGAGGCTGTTTATTTCCAAAAATTGTGCATTATGACACAAACTATTTACATTGAAGTAGATTTGATTATATATTCTGAAAGCCCATATCTTAAAATGCATTTTGTCAGCACTATGTTCAGATCTAACTCTTACAGTTTGTAAGAAGAGAGCTGATTTATTATAATAAAATTTATTTGTACTGTATTTTGTTACAATGTTGAATAAATTATATATAATATGAAAGCTAATTAAATATACTTTATTTTACTTATAGGTTTCTTTGCGTTAATATCAATAGCTCATTATTATCAAATGGTAAAGTTGCAAGTTACATGCTCTGGCTGAAAAACTTCACACACTTCCATAACACAAATTTGCCTAATGATCCTCAAATATCGGTGTTATTCACATCAAAATGTGTAACTTGAAGATTAAAATTATCATTCATTCATAGTAGTGTTTTTTATCTGCTGTTTTTTTCAGGGGTGTGGAGTCGGAGTTGTGGAGTTTTAGTGTTTTAGCCAGAGTTGGAGTTAGAGTCATCAAAAAATCCCCCGGCTCTGACAACTTTTTACTTCCCAACTTGTTATGTATATACAATGGAAAAGTATTGAAATCGTGTCAAATTTGACTCTCCATGTTTCTTTTGCAAATCTACATTTGGAGACCTCCCAAACCCCCAAAAAGTCAATAAGAGGAAAAATTCGCACGCGTGTGTGTGCTGGCATCTAATTTGTTTAATTTCTTTATTTTCTGTTCTGAGATATTGTTTAATATCTCAGAATGGGTAAAGTTTAAGAAACAAAATGTGGCACTGTAGTTTGCGTATAAAGGAGCATTAATACTATTAAATTTTGGTTCTTAATTAAAGGTCGACAGGGTGAAGACATAAAAGGGGTCATGTGTCATATCTTTTAATGAATATTTTACTTGTTACTAGCGTTCAAAATTTAAAAAATAAAGAGTAAAACTCGTCTTTACCCTCAAAGTAAGCTTTTTGTCATTTTATAATAGTACAGTAAAACCTGTTAAGATGTTCTCACCTACAATGTTAGAATGTGTATGGGGACAGGATTTAGTTCAACCACTCTGACGCTTAATAACTAACTCCTATGTTAAACCATCTGACTCCGATTCTTACCAATCTGACCACAGAAATTATTAGGCTTTAAACAGGGTGAACAAAATCATGCCCCCCCCCACACAGTCTAACATCCACACATATAGAAAAAAACCTCGAAATTTCAAAGTGTCCCAAGTCTAAAAGTGTAAAAATTTGGGAGGGGTCATTTTTTTACCGAGCGTTACACTTTCCCTCTGTTATATATAACAGCCGGAAAAGTAAAAATTATCGAATACATATTTATATATTGACTGTGTCATTACTTAGAAGAGTCTTTTAGCTTTGGAATAAAAAGTTTCTACGTTCTATCTTTATTAGAACTCTATTTATTGAACCTTTTATTCTGAGGTCACGTGAATGACATCAGAATTTTCAGGTCTCTTTCGGTAACAAGTCTGTCCCTCGTCGGGGTCAGAGTCGGATGGTAAGGAAAAGTCGGAGTTGGAGTCAGTAGATTTTTACGCGACTCCACAGCCCTGGTTTTTTTCCCCTTAGTACCATCTTTAATAGTAGCTGGTGTACAATTGAAATAAACAACAATTGCAATTTAAACAACTGTACTGTTTATAAGCAAACAAAGATTAAATAGATTAATCATTAGGTGGCTGAATAAAGATGCAAAATTAAGGCAACATTGAACTTCAATGGTAACTTCAACCAACCAATCATTTTAATTAAGGTCAAAAGAAGTGATTGATGGCAGCAGTTGCTGACGTTCAATGTTGCCTTGATTTTGCCACTCATGAGCATCAGCCTTAACATTAACATTTAAAGCACTAGTTAAAACTAACATGTGGCTAGTAAAATGCAAATGTTGATCTAGATAGTACTAAATGACTATTTAATTAATGATGACTAAAACTATGATTACACTACCATCCACTATAACAAAATAAGAGACATTTATTATGTACCAAAAATTACTAAAAATTATCAATTATGATTGGGTTATTTTATTATTAACAGATTTGAATTAATTAAAGTTTCTAACAGATATAATTATATTATCATCAAATAACAACAGTTAGAAAATGAAAGAATAAAATTAATTTTAGTGAATTACTTTAAAGCATTTATATTATCTAACACAATAATATAACATATATGAAACAAACAAACAAATTTATACATTATTCCAACAGTAATTAGAAGTAAAACAGCAGAATTAAAATACATATATACACAAAATAAGATAAATATAATCTCAGATTATTTAAAAAAGAAAAGAAAAAAACTATACAGTAGACCCCCTATAACACAGGTTCCTATAATTACGATTCCTATAAGACGGCAAAAAAATTGCGACGGTATCCGTACAAACCTGGTAAAAAAACTCCTATAATTTGGTAAAACATCATCAGGCAGCCAAACTACTTTCCGCCGTCCAGCGCCACGCTACGGAGAATTTAGGCAGGTAAATTGAGTTTACTATCGTCTGTATAGTATTATATATAAATTACAGGTATACGTCGCCTTACGTCGATAATTGGTTCCAGGAGAACGACTTAAGTCGAAAAACGACGTAAGTCGAATTTATTTGTCTCCGAATCTACTTGCCACTAGGCTAAACCATAAATTACCAATTCCCGTTCTGTATTTTATTTATTAATGCATTTTTAATAATATATGGTTAATAAGGATCTATTTTAAGCTTACAAAGAAATAAATTTTAGTTTTTAATATAGTACAGAAAAAAGTAATTTAAATTTACGAATGCATGTACTGTAAATACAGTATATACTTGTAAATGTATATATTATAATATGATTTTATGTGCTTTAAACATTTTTCTAGTGATATTACGACTTCAATATTTGTGGCGGAC